GGCAGGGGGAGGGAGGGGCAAGACAGGGGGAGGGAGGAGCAAGGCAGGGGGAGGGAGGGGCAAGGCAGGGGGAGGGAGGGGCAAGGCAGAGGGAGGGAGGGGCAAGGCAGAGGGAGGGGAGGGGCAAGGCGAGGGAACGGAGGGACAAAGCAGGGGGAGGGAGGGGCAAGGCAGGGGGAGGGAGGGGCAAAGCAGGGGGAGGGAGGGGCAAGGCAGAGGGAGGGAGGGGCAAGGCAGAGGGAGGGAGGGGCAAGGCAAGGCATGTCACTTGTGTGCATGAGGCTGTGTGCAGCTGTGTGTTTGTATGTGTGCACATATGTGTGTGTGTCTGTGTTTGTAACCACATATGACCTTCCATGTGGTTATCCAGAAGTGGGGCATGGGTAATTGTTTATTTCTGTATGAACACCCACATCTACGTGTATGGGACACACCACGTCTTAATAAGAGTATATGCTTGTGGTGACAGTATGTAAGTACCTGTGCGGAGACAGTGCCAATGAGCATAAGGACAGTCATTCAAACAAACACATCTGGAGGACACCCTAAATAATCTCAATGGCAAAAGAGGAAAAACCAAAACAGTCTAAATGTCCATCTCCACATGAACCATGGGGTGATGGTACAAAGTCTGGCCAGGGCTTAAGCAGAGCTGCCTTAAGCCTTGTTGACTGTAAATGTACAGGGTCACCAGCCACACTGTAGATGACTCTTCACTGCCTCAAACTCTGCCTGGCAGCAGAGTGTCCTGTGCCTTGGTTAACTTCCTGGTGTGTGCAAGTAGAGAGTCCTCTGTGTTAATTTATGAAAGTGCACTCTGAGGGGGCCAGGGTGGCCAGGATGGGTGCCTGTGTGTGAGGAGGGATGGTGTGTGGCCAAGAGTGAGGCTCTGCACACCCCCAGCCTGCTGCTTACAAGGACCCAGCACATCTGTCTCAGGCCCAAGTTCTTAAAGCACCCATGAGACATAGGCACTAGGAAAGAGACAGCAGGGGCTGCCTTATGTCTCCTTTGTGAGCCAGGCCATCTGGGGAGCTGTAGCTCCTCACTGCCCACACTTCCTGCCAACTCCCACCCTCTCTACTTCAGGATACTTAGCCTGAGGGAGTCTGGAGGTCAGACCATGTCCCTGGTCGCCCTCACCTCAGTGGCAGACACATGCTTCTTTCCCCTGATGTGAAGCAGTCGCTGGACGTTGTACATGTTGGTCTCCGAAAGCTTGAGAACAGAAGCTCTGCCTCCCTTCTTGTAGCTGAGGAAGGGACAGGGACAGAGAAAGCTCATGTCCTGCAGGGACGAGTGTGGGAGTGAGCACGTGCATGGGTGTATGTGTGGGGATCACACAGGTCTGTGTAGGACATGTGAGCGTATGTATGCGTGAGTACATAGGTACAGGAGCCACAAGCGTGTGTTGCTAATTAGCATGTAGGGCTGTGTAGACTGTGGCATGTTGAGGGATTTCAGATGTGCTTTTCCAGGTGAGTCTAAATCTGAGTACATGGAAAGGCATGTCTGTGTGGTGGATAGGAATATTCAGGTTTGCATGCCCATCTATAGGTCTACATGTATGGAGAGGTAGGTATGTGGTTTCGCACATATGGGGTGCCATGTGTTTTTGCGTATACGCACAGACTTGTCTGAACTATATGTAAATATTGGACTCAGCGATACGAAACAAAAATGATTTGCTCTTGGCAATCAGGTTAACTCATGTCAATCTCAAAATAGGAGCTAAAAAAAAAAAATACTTAGAAGACACTTCTACCAGCCTGACAAGCAAAGCGAGCTCTGGATAACCTGGTGGCTACTCCTGTGTACAAACCGAGACCCAGGACAACGGTTGCCCTTACAGACATTCACAGGAGTACTACTGATCGCAGCCCCAAAGTGGAAGCAGTGCACCTGTCCACTAGGTGTTGAGCTGAGAAAACACGGTAGATTCATAGACTGGAATATCATTCCACAGGGAAATGAAGCCAGGTAATCATGTGTGCCATAGCATGGATAAGCAGGATCAGTGAGGGTCGAAGCTCATGGTTGAGGGGTTGCCTGCCATGTGGGCGAGGCTCTGGGTTCCATCCTTCTAACAGGAGGAGGAGCAAGAGGAGGAGGGGGAGGAGGGGGAAGAAGAGGAGGAGGGAAGGAGGAGGAGGAGGAGAAGAAGAGGAGGAGGAAGAGATTAAGATGAAATGAAAACATGTCAGTCACAAAAGTTCACTTTCCAGAATGGGCAAATGTACAGACAAAGAACAGACCAGTCGCTGCCTCTGGCAGGAAAGGAGGGTACAGGAAGGTCCTGGAAAGAGGCTGCCCAAAAGCATGGGGCTTTTCAGGGTGATGAAAGGTTTTAAAGCTGACTGTGGTACTGGTTGCATGTATCTTAAACCAATGAATCGTGTGCTTGAGATGGGTGGAAGGTATGTGAGCGTACCTATCTTAAAGTGCACATAGGTGTGTGCCCATGTACACAGGCACACCATTCGGCCAGTGACAAGCCATTTTCCTAGGGTGGCTGGTGGTGCCCCTCACCGCAGGATCTGACACTGCCCTCAGCTCTCTCAGCACTCACATGACTCCAGGGTGGAAATAGCTGTGGAAGCAGTCGGACTCGTGGCCCTGTGACTCTCGGTGCAGCACAGTCTGGTCTCCTAGATCCTCCTGCAGACGTTGCACAAAAGAGACCGCAGCCTCCCGGGCCTCTGTGCCGGCCTCCTTTCCAATCCAGTAGTGCAGGTCACTGGATCCTCCCTGGGTAGCCTTTGGACTCTGAGGGACCTAGGGCCCAGGCATTTGTAGATGTGGAGGGAGGAGGGGCCCAGTGGGAAGGTGCTTGGATGGAGGCTATGAGGGGAACTGGGGACTGGAAGGCCTCACGGCAGCAGTCCCTTGTGGGTGGCACATGATGTGGAGGCTTTGATCTCCTCGGGAGAGAGTTTATTTCTAGGCCTGGGTTTCTTCAGCTCTGAGCCATATTGCCCCTAAGAAAGACTCCCCGGGTGACTCACATGAAGGACGACATAGCAGCATTCCTCGAAGAAATTCCCATGAGCTCGTTCAGGCAGTGGCAGCATCTTTAGGTTCTGAGAGGAGAGGTTGCCAAGTAACAAGCTGGAGGGCTCTACCTGTGACTTCCAGAGATAGGGTAAAGGAGGGAGCTCTGGATGGGAGATGGGAGAGGCTGGTGACACTTTTCCATGTCACAGGCTGTACTATCTGGTCTTGCCCCTCACCTCAGTAATCCATATTTGCAGGGCTCTGTGGCTGTTGATGGCTGGGAGTTCCTGGTTGATGTCCATCCTGGGCTAGGCAGGAGTAATGGAGATACAGAGAACTAGAGTTCAGAGTTCACAGGTTGGAGGTCAAGCTCTGGCCACCTGTGCTACAGGCTCCAAGTGAGAATTCTCCCGACACCTAAAGCTCTCCAAAGTACCTTCGTTATAGAATGTAATTTTCATTAAACATGCAACTCCAGCAAACCAGGACAGGCACGATGGATGGGCATGCAGAGACTGAGTTTGTCTGTGGGGAAACTCTTAGAACAGGCTGAGTTCTCTGGTCAGGAGCGGTTCTTTAGCTAGTAGTAACATTTTGGACAGAGTTAGAAATTGGCCACAGAGGGCTGGAGGTATAGTTCAGTTGGTAGAACGCGTGTCTAGCATGCATAAAGCCCTGGCTTTGACCCCTAGCACCACATAGAACTTGACATGCTGGTGCATGGCTTTAATCCCGGCACCCAGGAGGTGGAGGCGGGGAGATGAGAGGTTCAAGGTCATTCTCGGCTAATAGAGTGGAGTTGAAGGTTACAGGAGACCTTGTCTAAAGAATCAAAAAGAGAAAAGAAACACGCAGACTGATTCTAGACAGACTCAAGCCTGCAGACTCAGGGACAGTCACTGCAGATAGTGTTAAATTAGACTCTTATAAAAGGAACCAATCCAGTCAGCAGGGGCAGACCCTGCAAAAGGGGGCGAATTCTTGAAATGGGGCTCAATGTTGTACAAACAGACAGGCTCTGACCCCAAGAGAAGGGCAGGAACTACACAAAGGTCTGACAGAGTTGGAAACAGAGTGTATAACTAGACATAGAGTCTGCACCTTACGGCAGGCTACGGAGGTGGGGGCTTTACAAACCAGCATGCTGTCTGTCCGTAGGCTGATGAAGCAGGGAACGACTCAAGCGCTCCAGAGAGAGGTGAGTTCTCCAAACAGGAACCCTCCATGTATACAAGGATAGCTTCCACATATACAAAGATAGCTGCCAAGAGACCCAGGCACTACCCAAGGAAGTTCAGACAGGCTTAGCAAGTCGGCAAAGACTAGAAGCTGAGAAAGAGGTTCTGCAAACAGGTGTAGGTTCTGTGGGTACCTAGGAGCTCTGCATGGGAAAGGTCATGCTAATGTGGCTAAGAAAGGGCTCTGTAAACGGGGCAGAATCTGAGGCTGCGGACCCGCACATCAATACACAAGGCTCTGCAGGAGGGAGCCACCACAGAGAGGCCCCCTAGACAGACAGAGGCAGGCGATTAAAGCTTGGGAAAGTTCTGCAGATATGCTGGAGCTTCCTATGTAGGATGTCTCCAGCAAACAGACTAAATGCCCCAGACAAGGAGGCGGGAACAGGTAGGAAAAAGCATAGCAGGCTTTGCAAAGAGATTTGGGAATCTGTAAAGAACCAAGTCCCGTAGTCGGGATCAGGGAGTTTGCAGAAGCGCAGAGGCTGTGTAAGCCTGCAGAGGCTCTGAGGACCGGGTCTGTCAACAGCGTTGTGTTTTCCAGAGAGGCCAGTGCTGTGTGCAAGCACATTGCCTCCAGACACACGCAGGAATATGAAGCAGGGTTAGGTTCTGTGAGAAACCTGGTTTCTGCAAATAAGGGCAGGCCATAACGGTCAGTCTGGAGATGGTGGAGGTTTTGTCAGTAGGGATGGGCCCTGTCCACAGGTCCACAGGCAAACAGGTGTGTACAGACAGGCTGAGAGCCCGCAAACAGGGATGAGGTCTACAGGGACACGTGGATGTTCCCAGACAAACACAACCCCCTTCCGGTGAGAAGCTCTCCAGTGGGACAAACGGAAAGATTTTCTACCCAGGTAAAGTCACATAGGCTGTGAAAAGAGGGAAAGCCCCTTACACAGACTGGGGGGTCCCATGTGAGAATCAGGCTCTACAGAACATATGTATACAGAGCATGGTTCTAAAGGAGAGGTGGCTCGGCCATCAGGTCCTAACCATCCTGCAATGAGTGAAGGTATTCCAGGGAGGTGCTTTGTGTCCCACCGTGTGATGGACATCCCCTCCCAATTGGACCGTCCTCAGGAATTTCATTCTGGAGGGAGGGAAAGGCTGAAGCCCTGCATAGGCTTAAGGAAGAGTCTGTCTCCCAAAGAGAGTTTTCACACAGCTCTGACAACGTGAGGCCGCCTTGCAGCACAGACTGGAGCCAACAGGACAAAGCACACTGGGGTGGGGGTGGGGTTTAGGTGATGGGCAGGACCAGTTTTGAGAAGGGCTGCTCAGTTATGCAAACCTGAGTCCTCCATTTAACCCTCAATCGCACAGCAGGACTTGGGGTGGGGCTTACCTCTATTTGCACCTCTATTTGTTTTTTTTTTTTCTCCGTGTGGCTACATGGGTCACTTTTCCTTTTTCTGCTTTTCATTATTGTGAGCTTGGGTGTCTATGGTTAGTGTGGTGAGCTTTGGTGTCTATGGTTATTCTGGTGAGCATGGTTGGCTAAGTGCAGTTTGCAGCCCTGCCAGCAATTAGGATCTAGGATCTGACCCTCAAAGTTCTGATAACAGTAACATGGAAATTTTCCCCAGACAGGGACAGGCACCATAAGCAGACAAAGCTTTGCAGAGGCCTGGACAGAGGTGCAGGTCAGCTCTGTCGCCGGGACAGGCTGTGCTAGCATGTCAGCATCTGGAATAAAAGCAGCTCCCACACACGGGGAGCCAGGGGTGGGGGTGGGAGGGGGACTGTTGAGAGAGATCTAGACTGAAAACAAATACTGGCTTTACAGGCTCTACAAACAAGACAAAAGCTCTGTCAACTCAGGACAGAGACTACACAGGACTGTGATGGATTCTACAGCAGGCGACAGACTCAGGTGACCCAAGAAGGTTGGGTCAATGAATCATAGGCCTTCCTGAGCCAGCTTTGAAAGATGGCTGAACTCTATACACACAGGCTCTGCAAACAGCACTGGAGCTCGCCTGAGTCCATGCTCTGCAATTCTGAGTGTGTGTGTG